AAAAAATGGACATTAGGGACCATTATCTAGATCAGATGTTTCTTCTCCCGGCATAAATCAAGAGGAACCTAAGATTTATAATCTATAGGAAATCCATTATGAAAATCGAAATATAGCTGACGTTGTGTTTAAAATTCATTGGATTGTGGCATTGTCAATAACAATTTCCTTGCATAGTAGACCGTATGAGTTGCTGAAGATGATGCTAAAATAAAATAATCTTTAAGTGTATTTAGACACTTAGACTATTGTTGAACAAACACCCACCCTTGTTTTCTTCTTGTTTTTCCTACTAAGAGCATGTTTGATGCTCATTTTTTGCCCAAAAAAAAAATATTAAATAGTGATTTAATGGAAAATGTGTTATTAAAAAATAAGAAAAAATTTGGATTTGCATATAATGTTATTTAATAAAGAGTGTGTGTTGCAAAATAAGAAAAAGAAAAACGCATTTTGAAAGTAATGAGGACCAAAAAAGGGCCACGTCTTTTCTAATACATAACTCAGTGCTAACAATATATTCTTATTCAATTTCTTTAACAAGAATTTGCGAACATCAATTCAACTAAATATAATGAGCTTGATATTCTAATGGTATGATATGACACTGTAGGGAGTTCCAATATTAGCCCAAGTAGCATGCCAGGCAAGCTTTTATTAGAGGATAATCTATGGGACATACGAAACGTGTACATAATAAGTGTGCAAAAGTAGTGAAGTCGTGGGTTGTATGAAATCTAATCTAAGCATAATGTGATAAGTAATCTTATGAGAGAAAAGATAATAATTAATTTATCTAACAACCCGAGCTTATGAGAGAAAAGTAATCTAACCACACTCCGGAAAATAGTTTGACTAACAACCCGAGCTTTAAATTAAGCGCCCGTTTGGCCCCCATTATCCAACATTATAACGAGAGGAACATTAATTTTTTGGAGAATATGTGGTTAAAAAAGAAGATTTTTTTTATTTACTTGTAATATTATTTTATTGAAGAATGTGTAGTTAATAAAAAAAGACAAACAGGGGCTAATATATGTAACACTGGAACACAAATGTTATGATGTCCTGATATCCTTTCGATTTCAAAAATCTGAAGTATAAATTTCACATATTTACTTAAAATGAAAAGGCAAACATAGTCACATTTCAAGAAAAGGTTACATGTCATAACCCATGAAGGATGGGAACTATACTATGAAAAAGTTTATTGTCTGACCTATTTGCAAATTAGTGCAATATTTTAGACACTTCCCCGCACCAAATCTTACATTTTTTCCCCATTCCAATTGGTAACCTCATATCTCCATGTTTACATATATTTATAATTGGACTTAAGATAAAGATGTTATAGTTTCAAGAAGGTTTATTAGCACAAAATGTTTCTATATTTGACTTTTAGTGTGCAAAACTTTTGTACGTCTCAAAATTTTTTCATTTTCGCCCCTATTTTATTGTTTCATTACGAAAAACATCATTTTTATCTATTTTCTCAGGAAATTCCATGAAATGACGATGTATGCTCTCTTATTTAAATAAAATAAAAATAGAAGAAAATAAAAATAAAGAACTAATTACAATCATAAGTCCAAAATTTTAAAAAATTTACAAATAAGTCCCAAACAAATAATTAAAATTAAAACTAAAAAAATAAAAATAACTTCATCTTCTCCCCCCCCCAACCAACCCGGAAACCAGATAATTAAATCTTTTTCCTAAAAAAATCCTGCATATAAAACAATTAAAATAATAATAATAATTTTTTTTTAATCTTCTTCCTCAAACACCCCACCCCAACCCGAGGAAATACCCAAAAATGACCCTTACACTGTAGCAAATATTGACATTGGCCTTTGACCAATTAAATAAATTAAAAAAAAAACAAATTAAGTTAAAAAGAAAACTTTACAGTATTTTCCCATTTTACCCTTCAGACTGTTTGATAATTCTC